CACTCATTTCATCCTGGCATCTGCTTCCTCGGAGGTACCGTGGGGAGAATGCGGTGCACCCACTTCACAGCAGCCTTGTGTGTAGCGCTGCGCAAAATAAAACCAAACAGCAAACAGAGCGAAACAAAGAAAACCCCCCAGACAAAATCAGCTGGGGTCCAACACAATGCTCTGTTCAGCCTGAAACAAAAGTTTTGTTTTCAGGTCATTTAACTAATTTTATCTTTCTTTCCTTTTAACAAGAAAGAGAAGGGGGGAAAAAAAACAAAAAAGCAAAGAACAGAGATGACTTGTAAGCCGAACACAGACAAAGTGGTTTTACTTTGGGGGAAATTTCATCCTCGTTCTCCCATACTGTTTGACCAGTCCAAACTTGTATTAATGAGTTTCCTATCTACCATACTGAATATTCACCTAGCTCACCTTGCAAAGCTTATATTTCCATTAAGTGCCATGCAAACGTCAGCTGAAAGATTCCAAAGTGCAAATTATTTTTGCTTTTGGGAAACAGAAAGGATAAATAGAAACCAAGTTGCCTCTCTATCAATAGTTTTAATGAAGCCCCATGTGCAGCAAAGTACATAAGGTTGAGGCTAAATGCTTCACTGGACCACTCTATGTTATTTTAATGATGTGCTTAATGTGAAAAGATTTTTTGAAACCCGGTTTAAATGGTAGTGGGGAAGGTAAGTAAACAGCAGTTCAGTCAGAGGTCACTGAAAGTAAAGCAAAGTTTCTCTAAAAAAGGCAGGGAAACTTGCTATGTGCTATCCTCTATATTTGGATGCTCCTTTGGGTGACAAGTGTGCAGCCCCATAATAACATCTGCAATGAATTTGGAGATAGAAGAGTCTCTCGCAAAAGGGGTAATGCTGGAGGGTTAATGTCCTAATCCTTGTACGTATTATTTGCGCCTAATGCCACACAGGAAAGATAACACTGGGAAGTAAGGTGAGATTTACATAATGCTGATCAATTTGAAACGTACAGTAAGCAGAACTGCTTTTTGATTGCATTTCACAGCGCAGCAGCAGCAAAGTCTTTAGTTATTCAGGTCAGCTCTCACACCAGCAATTGCACCTCTGCAAAGCGAGCTGGGGATACAATCACACTTTAAGCCAGAGAGGATGAAAACCCATTTATTTCGATACATTTAAAGCCATCTGAACATCGCGCGTTCCAAATGCAGCCAGAGACGAGAAAAGCTTTTAAGGTTTGTTTGGCTTCTGCTTGAGAAAACTCAGCCTGGGGAGGGCAACGGCCAAGGGATGGGAGGCGGAGGCCGGGAGCAAGCAGGCAGATCTCGGCACGGGGGGGGAGCGGGAAGCGAGGACTGGGATAGGGAAGAATACTCCAGGTCAGGAATGAAGCCTATTTAAAGATCTTCTCTTGCAGTTCAGCACTACGGTCGCAGGCAGGACTGCTGGCCGGGGGCAAGGCGCGATAGGAAGGCGTTCGGGGAGCCCAAGGTTAGGATCGCGGAGGGGGCTGAGGTCGGGCTCTGGGCACGGTTGCAGAGCTTCAAGGAGAAAGGAGGACTCCGCACTGCACTTGCTGGAGGCGGCAAGGTGCACCGCGGGGTCTGTGCAGAGGCAGCTCGCTTGTTTACTCAACTTTTGTACTGCCATTAGACCAATTCCTGCTAAAACTCTCCACTCCCAACAGCTTTTTTTTTTTTTTTAATGCTTAAAAATCAGCTATATACATGCAAATGTATGTGCGTTGATGAAATCCACACTTTAGATGCATAATTTAAGTTGCAACCAGAAATGTACTTGGATTTTGGCAGTGCTTATGAATGGATTCCTACCCCAAGCCTTACCCCACACCTAAACACGAGCGAAGATAAACAAGAGTTTGTGCCTAATCCATCATGCTGCTTAGTAAGCAAAGATGAAAGAGAAAGCAAAGCAGTGTTTGGAGGAGGGAGAGAGTTATCTGAGAAACACACTGCTACGTGTACCTAAGATAATCACTGGCTTTAGACTAAAAACTCTTCATCACGCTAACGTGGAGAGCGTTTTCGCAGGTGAGACTGCTGCGCGTGCCAGCCCGCTGAGCCAACTATAGTCTGAGCCAATCTCAAAGGGCAGTACCCACCGCAGCAGCCAGTTAACTTGTTTCCATCGCTGATGGAGGCAACTTCTGTAAACAGGATCTGGCCCCGCGGCAAGCAAAGTGAACGGACAAGCTTCGGTTGCGTGCAGGGGCACAGTAAGAGGTGAAATGGCCACGACAGTGTGCAGAGGTTCGGAAAGTTTTCAGCCTCCAAAATATCCCCCATAGGAGTACCCCACATTCCACATCACACACCTGCGGCACCATTACAAGCACAAAGGGGGCACAGTGGAAACTGCGGAAGGGCCTCATCCCCTCTGTGGTAGCGCCGCAGAGGCGCTACCTACACCACCTACAGTACGACCTACCACCAGTACAACCTTCGCAGGGAAAAAGAGAGAGACGCTTATTAAAGTTGCTTCGATTTCTGAGTGTCATGCCCATAATTAGCTACGACCCCACGCTAACTGTGTTATCAGGCACTGTGAAAGAAATGATGGGGAGGCATTTTTAGCCAGCCCCTCAAGTTTTAAGAAAATAATTGCTTAAGCCTCATAAATAATAATTATTTCAATTGATGAATCATTTTGACTCATTTTACGTTTCAAGTAATATTTAATAGTGCCATGCAGTAAAGTAATTGTGGAATTAAGAATTCATTCGTCACTTATGTATGTTCTTACTTGAATTAGATCAAGTTAAAATTGTTGCTTCTTTTTTAGAAGGATAATTTAAATGACAGTCACCTTGTTCAGCATTTCACCAAGAGTATAGAAAAATCTCCTAATATGAAGAGATTGTAATCAAACCTTGTCCCCCCCAACTCTTTCACACACACAAAACCACACAAACGTAATGGCTCCCTCCCCAAGTGTGTAAAGCTTTCTGCTTACAGCCAAGAAAACATACCACTTGAATAACCTTTCACATAACACTTGAGTAACCTCTCACTCTGAACTTTGAGTCTCTGTCTCCAAGTAAAAATCACACTTTTGAGGTCAGTCCAGACATGCCAAACACAGGATTTGAGACTGAAAAGAAAAATGTCCGAGATAATGAAAAATGTACTTCACTCCCTAGGGAGTTTTACAAAATTATTTTTATGATCAGAAATAATTTACTGATGGGAAATGAGATGCCAGTTACAAGGAAATTCAACATTAGTCCCAATAATTTGTCCTGTGAATTGCTCACAAATCTCAAAGCACTTGATCAGCCATCACCCAGAGCGATGTGGCGCAGGAAACCCTGTGTCCACGCTACGGAAGAGGATGTGAGTTCGAGAGACCCTAACCACCACAGCCTGCAGTACTCTCCCGTCTGCTCCCTTCGCCATCTTCTCCTTCAGGAAAAGACAACCCCTCTCCCTGCCTGACGGGACAGAGGAGTGAGGAGTGGATTTTTGGAGCTTGATGGAACATCATCTGCAGGCAGACGGGGAAACAAGACTCAACCAAAGAGGATCAAAAAGCCAAAGGGAACACAAGAGGAAAACCAAATGAGGGCTGTCATTTGGGTTTTTCAAGTGAAATGCTAATCAGGACCTAATGAAGGTTGTTTAAAGCAGCTGATATTTTAGTATCGCATGGGAGTTGGGGTATGGCTGAACCAGCTACAGTCAATATTCCTTTCATGTGGTGGAGAAGGAAATGCTGATGTATTTTCAGGCAATATGATGAGGTCAGAAGATCTTGCAGAGTCTGACCTGGCAGCCATGAGAAATGAAAAGCGAGGATCCCACCAAGACATGGGATCAGCCTGGTCAGCCCACTAGTAAGAGCAGAGGGCTGGAAGGGAAAAAAAGCTATTAAAAAAAAAAAGAGGGAAAGGGCTCAAGATTGATGAGGTGGGCAGTAGCTCATATTTACATATCTGGGGCCTCCTTGACAGCAGAAAAAATAAGTTAACCCGAAAAATAGAAATCTAATCTACATTCACTTCCCAACTTGTCAAAAGGCCTCAGTGCAAAGCAGCCGCACTTGGCTGCACAGAGGTGTTCCACGGAGGGACCCCGACCAATAAATCTGTTTGATTTCCTGTTATGAGAAGCAGACAAAGAGATACGGCTAGGGATGGGCAGAGCTGTCTGCATAAGGGAAGAGCCTGTGCTTTCACCCCAAACTCAAACCCACCCTCTCCGAGGTTAGGAAAAGTTCAGTTCACTTTGGGAATTTTTTTGCATTATTTCTCATTTTTGCATGTTCCCATGGGAGCTGGAAGGAGATGGGACAAAGCATTTCTTTCCTGCTGGCACCAAGCAACCCTGAAAGTGTCACACGAAAGCTTGTACTTGAGAGGTTTCCAGTCCAAGGGTGTGATCTTGCAACCCCTCCAGATGTGAATAACGCAGTGACATTTTGAATGCTTTTGCTGTTAGTGAGAATTCCTTGGCATTACTCTACAAGTGTTTTCTCCCCACCACTTCTTCCTTGCTTTCTTCGCCCCTTCACCCAGTGCACGTTACACATAAACAGAAAAGGAAAGCAAAGTTTTGAGATCAAACAGACTTTTTTCCCCAAACCCTGGGGAGAACCTGTGCAATGGTAACAATCTTGTCAAACAGCAGCTGTTTGGTAAGGTTCCTCTCAGGAGGTGACATCAGAAGTCGAATGCTCCTTTGCCCACGGCACATGGTCTAACAGACCAATAGATGTTTCATGGCATAGATTTTCCAGAAGTATAGCAGGTCCACGACAACATTTGAAAGCAATTAGGACGAATGTGGCAGCACTTCAATGTATTTGCTGAAGCACAACAATTAATACCCATGTTTCTGTGAACGTATACTTTCAGTACTGCTGGTAATTTCCCCACAACTTCCGTAGCCTCGCTAAATCATCGCTTAGTGATCACAGCCAAAAGTTTCAAAACCTTTGACGGAAACAGGACCATGACCGTGGATGTAAATTTGCTCACTTGCCTTTTTTTTTTTCTTCCTTCAGAGAGACCCAAAATCTATGAAAAGGAAACTGATTTTGATAAGATTGAGCGGGTGGAATTAAGAAGCAAACACAAAATCCAGTGCACTGTAAGCGGGAATCCTGACCCGAAGATCGAGTGGAAGTGGCAGCCCTGCAGCCTCACAGACACACTGTAAGTGGACATTCCTACACATGACCATGTTGCAAAACAGTTTGATGGTCTCATGTCAGTTTTTCTTTCCAGTACATCTTTTTTACCTTAGTTAAAAATCACAAGCAGTGATTCCTCACCTAAAGATCTCAAGGGTTATGAACCCAGCAGACATCCAGTTGTGTATGATCTTTTCGGAGTTACAAGCACCTTCTGTATTATCAGAATTGTGTCAAATAAGTTTAAAGCGACTAAAGATCAGCCTTGAATTTTCTTTAACTTGATCAGAAATGTCCCTCTGACCTACCAAGATCTTTTCTTACACCTCTTGGATGAAGCCTACATGGTTGACAAAGAAAAAACAGACAGATGCTTTCTGTGTAGAGGTGACACACTTTTTTTCCCCGGTAAGAGCTATTGTCAGACAAACCCGCGAAAGGCTTGGCTTCATTTAGTTGCCATATGGAATTTATGCCACTTCCTAAGGGCTGTCTTCACCAGTGCAGACTGAGCATGGGCTCCTGTGGCAGCATCTGCGTTGCAGAAGCTGTAAAAGGGAGCCAAGCCTTCACGCCTTCCTGAGGGCCCTTCTTTGCTAAAATCTGGAGGCAGCCGGAGGTGTGAAGACACAGAAGCAAGTCACTGGGTCAAAACTGTCAGAGAGGAATGAGGCAAGTTAAAACACAAGATGCCTTTCGAGATTCGCCTTATACAAGTAGACATTTTCTTTGGTTCTGCTGTTATATGAGCAGGGTGATCTATAAAGAGAGGTCTTGGCTGAGGTCTGAATGCTTCCCCTGGTAGCCCCAGGAGACATACAGGAGGCACATATAACATTTCTGACTGCACTTCAACTCTTCCCTGCGATGAGAGGGCAGAAGTCAGGTTTTCCATCCATAAAAAAATGAAGGCAGGTCTAGGAAGCAAGACAGAAAATTGCTGGATGGTTCCTTATTTTCTCACCATTTCAATGCTTTTCCAGCTGCTGTGAAGGGCAAGCCATGAGATGGGGAAAAGTCGCTATGAGAAGCTCTTTCCCAGGTTCTCTGCTGCAGCAGTCACAGTGATGTTGGGTGATCTAGTCTCAGGTTGGGTCTAAAAAGTGATTTGGTGTCCCTCCACAAGGGAAGTAGCCCGTTACCTCATTTAGGTAGTTACACTGCTCCTGCAGGAATAAGATTTGTAGGTTTAGGTAGGGCTGTTGGCATAGCAGGTCAGCAGAAGGCACACAAGCTGCTGCATTCAGCATGAGCAGAATGGAAACAGCATAAGGAAACAGGTTATGCATTCTGTTGGAAAGCCACAGAGATGACCTGAAGTCTTTTCCAGATCTTTCTGTCTAGGGAGAAAGAATTGGTCATGAATGCCGAATTAAGCCAGATTCGAACCAGTGACCTGGTGGCAAAAGACCTCATGTAACCCTTGTTCCAGCTCTCTGACTCTCTGATCTTATCAATTTAAATACAATTGCAGAGTGGCGTCTACCTCTTCTGGCCCCCGGGGCAGCCTTATCTTTTTGCAGCAGAAGCTGTAGGAGGATTCCTGTGGGAAATGACACAGACCCCATTTCCTTCTGTTGTCTCACTTCCTCTCTCTCTCTCTTTCTCTCCCCCCTCCTCACTAGTGCACTTTGAATCCCAAAACACTATCATTGTTCCTTATAGCTGTGATGTGATTCGCTTCCTTTGAGTTTTTTCCCTTCATCCTCAAGGCAGAATTGTGCCTTGCAGGAAGTCACTCAAGACATCTTCTAATTAGGCTCTTTTGAGAGCTATAAACCCTCCCTTGACCCAGGGTGTCACCCGTGCGTCTTGTGTGGATTTGGCAAAGGCACAGCTGATTTATGGATTAGTTTTCTGCAGCATCAGCCCTTGGTCATCACCTACAGAAGTCCATTTTACCTCCTCTAATCCTAACGGGCTACGGTGGGCTGAGAGGCCGCTGGGACAGGCCATGGGAAGTGCGGTGCCTCTGCTGAGGCAGAGGAGGCAATAAGGACACGTTCCCGTCGTGCTCCGTGATGACTTGTGCAAGGTGCAATTGCGGCTAGTTGTAGAACTGAACGGATTTCACTAACTTGCCGTCACAGAGTCACAGTTTGTAACACCCAGCCGTGCTGCACTGGAGCTGAACTGGCAATGTTAAAAGGAAAGGCTTCCTGGAGCCGCCGAGCTGGCAGCGCCCGCAGCCAGGACTCCCGGAGCTCCAGCCTTGCTGAAGCCTTTGCGCTCCTAAGCACGACAAGGCCCGCATCTCTCCTCATTTTTTCCAAGGGTTGTAGTTAAAGAAGACAGAAAAGCCTTTTGCCTTGGATGGTGCAGATATACGTTTCCGCATGGCGTGCTACGTACACTGCTCTTCGCCCATAATTCAAAAATGAAGATTGCTAACTGATGGAGATATGGCTGTCTTCTGGGGAACATGCAATATTAAAGGAGCCTTCTGCTATAGTTAGCCCAGTATTTATGCATTCTACTCCCTCAGCCTGCACTTCATGTCGGAAAGCCGAGCAGATAGACCGACACGCTCAGCAACATTCACCTCCCCACAGTTTTGAAATGCACTGCGAGATCTAAAAGAGAACTTATAAAAGCTACAACTGCATTGAGTTGGAGTATAACTCATATTAGTCAGATTTAATTCACACGATTTAATTAGTTGTTCAGTATTTTCTATTTTCAATCTTCAGAAAATTTGGGGGGGTTTCCTTGTTGGTCATATGCTGATCTTTGTCTATTGCTGTCAAGGCGCTTCATAAATAGTTTTGCAATGTTGCGATGAAGGAATGCAGTAGTTTCACAAAGAGGTAACAAACTCCAGCAGCAATAGCTTTTAAGAGGTTTTAAGACCTAAACCTATTGTCTAAGAATAACATTCTCTCTCTTTAATAATGCCCCCCTGGGTTATCTGCAGGGAGTCGGGTTCTTGAACACCACCTTTGCTTTTCTACCTCCAGATGCAACCCCGCTGGGCAAAAAATGGTGGTTCAGGAGAACATGGTCATAGGCAACAAGATCAGAAGCATTGAAAACATAACCGTGAAGCATGGGGATAAAAGAAAGGTATGTGTCTGATGAAAATCTGAGCAATGATGTCATGGAATAGCAGTGGGCTTTATGGGGTGCTCACACGGAGCTCTCTCCCTGCAGTTCCCAAGCTGCTGCGGGTTGTTAGCATGCTTTAAATTCCACAGCCCTGGGATCATTTTCAGATCTCTGCTGTTTATAAATATCGGGATTCTGGCAATGATGTCACATACCCTGTTTAAAACTCTCCAAAGACTTTTGGGTCAAAAACCTCTCTGTCTCCCTCAGTCTTGAGAAAGTGTGAAACTGGTTCGGTGCAAGAGGGGTCCTGTGAAGCGCCTACAACTGATAAGAACTCTACATTCATTAAAATGCTTAGCGCTCAGCCAGCACTTTGTATTGCCCAACCTTGCCCGCTCTCCCAGCAGGAGGAGTTAAACAGCTGCCCATGGCAGGGGAGTTCGAACTAGATGATCTTTAAGGTCCCTTCCAACCTAAACCATTCTATGATTCTAGGATTCTATGTGTAATTTAAGAGGCCTACAGTGGCCAGAGATAGCTGCCCTGATTTTTGGAGTGTGTAAGTGCCTGCAGTACCTGCCTGTTTCAGCTGGAGTTCTCAACATTGCTGTACCCATTCGGGTTGCCAACCACGTTACTGAGCCAATGAAGGTGGGAAGACCTCCTTCCTTCTACACTTCCCTGCCTGCTTCCCCTTCCAAACAGCACCGGGAGCACACTTCCTGCGTTAACTGCAAAGATCCCAGCTCTCTTAAATGCCTCCCAGGTACCTGCGGTGATGCTGAGTGATACTGTTTACACAGGTCCATGCTAATCCTTGAGAAATCACTGCAGCTGTTCTGCTGTGGATTCACAGCCTTCTGGCTCTGCCTTGCAGAGATGCTGCGGTCTGGCTCAGACAGTTGTTTTACCTCTGTTGGACTCATAGAGGTTTGTGGCTTTAGGAGTGGGTTTGCAGCTACAGGTTTCCAGGTGGATGCTCCAGATGACAGTTTAGTGCCTAATCCTGCAAGGTGCTGAATGCTGCAGTTTGTGTCCTGGTATACGTTTAAGCATATGGTAATTCTTGGGCTACTCCCATGCCTAAAGTTAAGCACAAAGCTAAAGTGCTCTTCTGGATTGGGTCCAGACTAAATCAGCATCTGGCAGGATCAGTGCCTTAGCCATCTGCTCTTTCTCATGGAGACTTTCCAGCTCGAAACGTAATCTAAACCAGAGCTCTGAAAACATGGAGGTTGGGCTGGGAAGGAGAAAATCAGCGTTCGCATTTCATTCCTGAATTTTCCCCTTGCTGGAAGATATTTATAAATTGGTTTTATTTAGATGGCGTAGTGCCCCTTAAGCTCTGTTTTCAATGTATTCTGTATGAATTTTAGATCTTAGGCAAAAGCAACTACCTACAAAGTGCTAATTACTGGTAAAAAATGGAGGTCAATGACATGTACCTACAAAGTTTCTTCCTTTTCTAAGACTTTCTGGTTGCTGCATGGACTGACACGGGTTTCGCTGCCCTCATGGCTACTGTTTCCATATATACAGTCTGTCTAAATATATGATCTGGTGTCCAAGAGCTTAGTTTATGTCTGATGATTAGTCTTAAAGTTATGTTGGTCCCCATATAAAAGTGAAGAGTTTTACAATTGCTGTGACCCAAAAAATAGCTGTTGGTTGCTGAATTGTCCCACGTGCTGGGATAGTGAGACACCTCAATAACACAAAATTAGAAACATTTTCCTTTATTTTATGCATACGTACACCACTCTAATTTCTTCTTTTACCAACTTTGCTGCGGCAAGTATGCAGGTGGGTGACATTTTAGTCTGCTAGTAGACTTAGGATGGGATTTGGCTGCAGTCTCTGAATGGGGTGTTTCAGGAGCACCACAGAGCTCCTGGACCCAGTGGGGCACTCCAATCACATCCTCAGTCTACGCTGGTGCATGATTAGGGACTTCCTAGCGTTCCCCTGTCACCTAATTTCCCTAGAAAGAAAAGGTGCGGCAATGTCCAGGTAAAGCAATCAGAGGAGAAAGAGTGCTCCACTCCCACAGAGGACACCACAGCAGCGACCCACGGGTCAGCCCGGATATCACCACGTGCCTGAGTTTCCTGCCTGTAAAACATGGCAGACACTAGAACGTGAGGAGAAGGGAGGCACAACTGCTTTGCGGAGATGAGGACCGTGAGGGAACCTCAGTACAAGGACTCCACGCAGTCCTCAGAAGTACTCCTCTTGTTCCCTAAGGGCTCTGCTGCGGCTCTCACCTTGAGCACACAGTCAGCCCCGAGGCGGCTCCTCGCTCTGCCCTGCACAGCCAGCTCTGCTCTTTCGGTAGACTCCAGGCATCCCGAAGTGCTCAGTTTTTAGACAGGTCCAAATGCTCAGCGTACAACGCTTTAACTTAAGCTTTTATATATTTCATTATTAAAGTTTCATAAAAATACTTCTTTACAAGTCACGTGATTTTACGATTTATAGTATATTCATTATTTTCATCTCCTGCTGATCCACTGGTTGAAACACACATTCTGAGGTGTTTTCTAATGATTTTTATGTCCCAATTAAGATCTATTCAAATTAATACAACTAGATTTTATGAATCTCAGGTTTCAGCACTTTGTCTCCCTGCTTACATTAGCAGACAATTCCTCTCCCTCCCCCTTTCTGAAGTCCAAGGCTATCTGTGTTAAGTGGAGTCTTTAGATAATAGACTATAATTCAAAAAAAGACACTGATGAAAACTTGTAGCCTTCAGACTTTTCCTTGTGTTTTATCAGTCGTTATTCCCACCAGAAATGGAATAGACAGGGAACAGCCCAATCCAGTCCCACCATGTCCTAGCAAGTAATTCATCTGCATTGACTAGGCAGATGAAATAATAAAGATGTTGGAGGCTGACTGAGCGTGGCTTTTCTTGACTGCGTGATGAAGCTGGGATTAGCCGAGATTGGTTATTTTTCCTGTGTGATTTGAGCCTGTCCAATGATAGCTGGAGTCTCAGAGCAGAAGGTGGAATTTACCCAGTCTCTAAGATTTCTCAGCATCCCAGGAGTTCACCATCAAAGAACTATATGCTGGTTCAGCGACATATGAAAAAATGCATTAACTTTTTAGAGCTGCCAAGAGTATGGGAACAAACCCCCAGAAATTACCAGATCCCAAATCTTGCTCAAAAGCTAGCCTGCACGGCAGCAAGCAAGGATTTTTCCAGCAGATCGCTGACGCTTTAGACGTCTATTTGACAAAAGCGGCATGTAAAATTGAGGGCTCTTGTCATCCTCGTCATGGTGATTACTCCATTATTATTCCACAGGTAGAGAAGTGAATTTCACCCCCTCCTGTCTTCTAAAGGCTGAGTCTCATTCCTAAAGAAAAGCATGTGGTTATCATTAACGTTATGATCTACTTCACTGAAGTTTTGGTCAAAGAGTGGTTGAGGCAACTGCATCATGCTAATTTAATTTTCCTGGTGGTTTTGAGTCAATATTGAACTTTTCACTTTGTGATTTAAACTATCGTGGAGCTACCTCTGAAGGGTGCTTTTTTGCACCAGGTGAAACAGCCAAGAATGCAGGAATAGCCTGAATTTCCTCTTCAAGTTGCAAGGAGCTGGGGCGCTATTTTATTTTCTTTCCTGTTAGTAAACGGAACATACTGGTTTGAGCTTGGGAGAACAGGACATAGCAGAAAAGAATAGCAAGATCCATACATAATTCAGTTCTCATTGGGGGTTTCTTTTAATCTCTTTTCTCCCTTTTATGTATATATGAGAGAGTGGCCTGGCCATGCGGATGTTTCTGCAATGAAACTCATACGTCTCTTTTGCTGGTGAAATTCATAACCACTTAAGAAAATTGACCCAAAAATGCCAGGTTTAAACGTCCTGAAGGAACAAAAAGACTACATTAGAATAGTGGGATGCGTTTGGTGAAAAGTATGTGAGCAACTCCGTAGAGCTGTTTAAATCTGTCACCCTGCGTGGGTGCCCGTTTCAGTGAGCTCCCAGAAGCCTTGTCACGTTGGTCTCTGGCAGGGGAAGGTGAACAGTCACGCGGCTGGGGTTTGAACAAAGCATCCACGCTCTGGGAGACTAGCCCAGATGTTGCAGGCGCTACCCAAGCACAGGAGCACATGGACTACTACGCCATCCTTGGCAGGGCTTCTTAAGAGAGCCTGGCTAGCAGCAGGGACATAAGAAACGGCCCTCTGTCTTCCCTGCCCTCTTCAATTCATTAGCTGCAATCACTGGGTGAGAGGAAGAAGCGTGGGGGTGGTAATTGCTCATGACTAGCCAGCACCTAGCCCCTGCCCTTGGGCCAGAGAGAGAGTGATCAGTCCATCCATACTAGAAATGTACACCAGTTCCTCCAGAGGCACCTCATACCTCCAGTTCTGCCCAGTTTCCTGCCCACGTGGTACTACCATCAGCTCTGCCACACTTTGTGGAGAAGGCAGTGATTGTTCTTATTTTACAGGGCGAGAAAGGCCCACTGCCAGAGATGAGAGCAAAGCTTAGAATTTCTCTGTCAACTCACAGACTTCTCTTATCACTTGTCCTCAGTCCATCCTTTAGCGTGTTTTGAATGAATGAACTAAGATTATGGATCAGAATTGTCAGGCTATAAAAACAAGTGCTATTCTGTGCCATTCAAGTAGATGGATTGGGAGCCAGCTGAATATTTTCTTTGCGGGGTCTCTGGTGAAGTTCCTATAATTTCATCTGCCTCTAGCCACCTCCACCCCAGTTCTGCCAGAGTTAGACAGCTGACAAGTTTTCCACCCACTTTTTCTACTCCTCATCCTCGCCCACATACAGCTAACGAAGTGAAAGAGAGAAGAATTGTTAACTAAAGCCGTTGGAAGGAGGGATTAGACAAACGAAAGAGAAAGCAAGGAATAACAAGATATATTAATTCATGCTGGCTCCAGCTTAAAAAAAAAGTCTTGCTGCTCTGTCCTTACTACAAGATGTCTTAAAACACTCATGGTATATGGCTGTGCAATGTTATTTGGCTGCTTCTAAAACAGCTTGTTTTATCAGTTCAGGAACATTACAGTGCAAGACATATGGACTTTATTGAACTATTCCATTATGGGTTTTCCCAGCAGCAACGTCTATTTACTTGTCATGGTTGTTCTTCAGAGATCAGTCATTTTATTTCTTTGATTATTGAGTTTTAAACTTTGTTTATTCTTTTATAGTAATTATTTATTAGCTAATAAACCCTTCTTTGGGCTCGCAGTATTGGGTGGCCTTTAGGTTAAGTAATAGGAAATGGAGCCCTTTACTTCCAAATTCAACACAGGCAATCAAAACCGGTCCGAAGGATGTTTGGTGCTTGGTATGCAGTGAACTCACAGGATCTCAGTCCAGCTCCCACTAGGAAGATGTCTAGACATTACATGCCAATAATTTGTTATTAATTACCATCGGTTCCAGCGCAGTCTGCACAGAAGCTAAGGACTGAACAGCCACAGTTTGTGCTACCGCTTGGGGCTGGAGTACATTGGCAAGGGTTAACGCGCCATTTAGTCTGAACCGCTCTTGACTAGGACATCGTGGAAGGTAAACTAAAAAGTGCAAACTTCCAGGCCAGAAATAGTTCCTGAACAGTAATTTCACTGAAGAGGTAGAATGTTTCAAGGCAATTGCAGATTTCACATCAGCATCATTATTTAGGCTTAGCAGAAAGTACAGTGCTGTGTCTGGGAGCAGAGGTTTCTGAGTCGAAGGCATGAGAAACAGCCTTGATGTGAGCTCTGCTTTGAGTAAGAGGTCAGACAGGAGACCACCAACGGGCTCGTGCTGCTAAGGTCTTTCTGTGATTTCATGAGTCTACATGTGGCAAATGCCAACATGTCTCAGACTTTTCTATCCTGGCTCTGATTCCAGGAACGGAAAATACTTTGCCAGGTGCATGGACTAAGCACACAAAGTAGATTATCCCCTCGGAATTTTTTCCACTCTATACTAAAGGTCCCCAAACGCTGGGACTGTGCCACTCCGCTGAGAGAGACGTCTGCTAACAGTTTTCCCTGTTAATAAGAGGAAAAGATTCCTATGTTTGGTTGCTCGAGTTCAAACCATTTTCTCATTCAACTTCTTTTTGCAGACTGTCCTTGAAATGGTTGCATGAAAGTATGGGGATGGCATTTAGAACAAAATCCTGATCCCTGCCTGCCACTATCACAAAGTACAGACAAATTTCAAATTTTCAAGTTTGTTCAACTCAGGTTGCCTACAGTAACAGGTGATGAACAGCTGCCAAAACATCAGCATTGTGGGGTCTAACATCTGGGTTAATAGGGGTGACCTTTCAACGGGATCTCCTTGATCTACAGATACTTCAAAAAGTAGGTACCACCGTGGGCTTCCTACATGTTTCTTTCAGGTTCCTTTTGGCAAAAGACAAAACTATGTGGTCTTATAGAGGGAAGGAGGATTTGGATGCCCTTTGGTATAGCGTGTTAAGAGTTCCAAAGCATGACTCTGTTGAAGACTGAAACAGGATTGGCAACTGAGAGCTTTATTTAAGATGCTGGAAACATAATTGGACTCCCAATCTCAGGGATTTACTCAGAAGCACACAGCTAGAGTGAAAAGCTGATGAGTAATGATTTCAAGGGATTCATCTTATTACAAGAAAATCACTCAAAATCCTTCATTTCCAGCCCTGAAATCACGTATATTTCTCTGCTGGATGCTGGTGGCTTAAAAGTCACATTTTGGAGGACTCTGGGTGGTGCTAGTTCTAAAATAAGACAGTAAAGGGCGTTCTGTCCTGTGCTGAGGTGTGTAGCAAACTGGTATCCAAGCGCACAACAGGGATTTTGAGCATACAAACAAGAAAAACGCTTTCTCTCTTTTCCTCAGTAACTTTTTCCCAAGAATTTGTCCCCACGTTGTTTCCCACCATCATTTTAACATCTTTTTCACCTTCACATCTAGCCGCAAGTGAGATTAGCTGAGATGAGGTCTCAGTATAGCTATTTGCTCTTTTTTTCCCCCCACTACCGTGTCAGACTTTTCTTGAGTTATGTAGTTAGAGACGTTAGCACCTGCGTGTGTTCATGAGCGTATGGCTGTGTTTACCTCTGGGCCACCAAATGCAGCTTGAGGCATTGCATCAGTTTTTAGAAGAGTCGCAGTGTCACCCCTAACACTTTGGACATATTCCAAAATGGATAATTACATTCCCCTTTATGATTTTAACTGGCTCTACAGTATTATCCTCGACTTCCCATCTAGAGCTGTCACTTAGCAAGACTAATAGCTGTTAAATAGCTGTCCAAATTTATCCCCTTCTGTCCTCAGCACATACATTCATATTGGCTTTTTCTATTCCCAAATCTAAAATTCTAAGATCCAGTAATCATGAGAAGAAAGATCTTGGTCCTGATTCAGCAGTAATCCAAAAGGCAGTGTCCACTGCTTGAAGTCAGGGGCAGCGTTCTGACCGTGTGCCTGTTAATAACCGGTGGCATTAGGGCCACTGCTACAGGAATGGACAAAGGAGGAGGAGCAGACTGCTTCCCTGGGTGATTTTATATCCATGTTAGAGCTATTTTCATGTCATAAATAAATCAGAACTGCACAGCTCTTTCTTCGGTGGACAGCAGAGGGAGCTGGGTTTGCTGGTCTCCTCTTTTCACCCCTAAATTTGGGTTGTCCCTATTCTTGGTTAATTTCTGTGTTTGGTGCCCATGAAAAGCAGATACTTTTCCTCTTACCCGTTATTCTGCTGAAAATGTTCCCCATTAGAATGTAAAATGCACATGGGATCAAAACCTTTGAAACTCATTTCCCTACAGGCTTTAAAGTGCCAAAGCTCAGAAAATCTTAAATAACTCTCTGAAAATATATCCCGCACAGCTATAGACACATTCATGGTGCAGCTTTATGAGCAGTAAAGGAATGTCTTGTGTGAGTTTAGTTTAGGATATTAAAAAGAAAGTCCAGAGATGCTTTTGTGCACTTCAAAGCGCTCTCTGGAGATAAGGACAAAGGGCCAGAGGGTGTTATAAATTTTGATTCTCAAAGTCCTTAGAGAGGACGGCAAAGAAAGTGATATTTGTTCCAAATGTGAGGGCTCCGAGTTCCTCAGGTGAATGGCTGCAGGGGAAGCAAAGTAATCTTGCAAGAACATCTCTGTCTTGGTGGGTTGGACCCTGCTTTCTTGCTAGCAGCCCAAAGGAAGTACCAGAAATAATTAAAGCCATGACCTGTGGATAGTCCTCCATGAGCTTGTGATGCTGCCCCATGATGGGGACAGGGGAGTGCCACGCGGCTGGCTCCTCATTAAGAAGGCCCTATACAGAAGCAGGGCCTCAGGATGTTTAAGGAACACAAGTTCTTAAGGATGTGTTTGCGTTCAGCCCCATGAATAAC